TGTTATGCCACAGTATTCAAGACTTTACATTTTTGGCCACACCTAATTTTGTAGATTGGGAGGGTAAAGGGAAAATTGGCCCTTACTGGGGTCGGTCTGGTATTATGGAGAATAGTACAGAGCAGACCAGTGCGAGGATGGGCACGTCTTTGAAGACCTGTCCATATCTCATTGTATATTCATGTGTATTGTAGGTAGTGATAATATTGTACTATTTGCTCGTAGTCCACTCGACCTCGAGGTCTAATTGTTAATTAGACCATTAGTAGAGTAGCCAATCACAGCGCAGTATGAGTGATAGACCATTAGTATGTTTATACTAATCTGTGTTCTACACTGTCCAACAACTCCAGTCCGACATACCAGGCACTCTTCTTCCTCACATTCTTTCTTCCTAAACGGATTAGATCTTTGAGCACCCTCTTCACATTCGTCTCTGACTTTTCCACGATCTTTATGCCTACTCCTGATTTCCTCACGTTTTCCTCTAGAATTTTTCTTAACTCTGAGTTAGGTGTTGCAGGTATGAATATAACACTCGAGTATATTCCTCTCTTGTACCAACTTGTTCGTTTTTCTCTCTTCTTCTCGTCGCGTTCAGCTTTCTTCCATCCCTTTGGTCTGTACATAGGTCTTAATCCTTGCTGGTCTAGCGCTAAAATCCGTCGGTATGCATTCAACGCTGACTTCACTACATCATATCGGAATTCCTCTTTACATCCAGTATACTGCATTCTTGAAACTAATTGATTAATATGAGTCACAGTCTGTTCCCATGGTAACAAGGTACTGCAATTAAGTAGTGCTCTAARGACTTCTTGTGTCATGATGGTGCGTTTAGCTCGTGATGGTATGGCCGAGCGTGGATGGATTACTCAGTGATTTCGAAGATATATCCTTGGAGTAGAACTCGTGCATGATTACATTTGCCTCTACGTAGGACCCGTTCACTTCGACGTTTCTCTTTTCAATCCAAACCTTGACATCTAATACGGGTATCTTCCTGTCATCATGATTAGAAGGATGGTCTTCTTCTACCTTTATAGATGGGTGCATTCCGTCAGCAATTGACATGYATCTTTCGTTGGGATCTTGTATGATATCGGACCCCCTTTCAATTGACGGTTGATGGTATCATTGAATGTATATACATGGTTTTTCATTTATAAACAGGAGAGCGACTCTCATCGCTTCAACTAGCATTTTACGTGTATCGCTTACATCTGGTTGTGAAACAGCATAGTTGAACTTTGAGAATCGGTTATCCTTTTTCTCTTCCATAGCACAACCAGTGATTATTTACCGGCTATAGGTCGGTTCATATAGGAAAACACTGCTCTCGGTCTTTTATGTACAGACTTCGCTGCKCTCGTTMCGTACTTTCAAGACCTCGGKCAGTGTTTTCCTATACGGACCTCCCAGCCGGTAGATAACATATATAAATCTACACCCATTAATATTCTCGAAAAAAGATATTTTTGTGCATTAAGTTCGGCACGACGATAGCTCGACGTTTGAATCAGCGTCGAGCTTTTGCCGTGCAGCATGACTGACTCCGCCGTGCCACTGCTGTGCTACAGTCGTATCGAGCTGTTCATGTGCTAAATTCAAACTATTTGGTTCGACGCGACGCTGACTCGACGTATGAACCGGGCTTAAAGCTGTAATAATAATGTATAAAACAAGGAGCCAAAAATCCCCGTCTTTTTAGCCAACAATTACTGAAAATATGATGATTTCTGTGTCATTTTACTCATATCGTGAGATATTTTAGAAAAACGGTGGTATCAGATAGAGGGATGCAACGGGTTGTATGTAATAATTTAAGTGAGACTTTTCCTATATACTTTGAGTAATTCTTCTACATAATCTACAATGTAAAAGCCATATAATAAACGAGTTATTAACCTCGCTTGCTCGATCTGTGAGAGCTAATAGGTTTGAAATAAGGTTCGCAGTGAAATAACAGTCGGGTTATTAACCGAGCGCGAGGTCTGTACGGTAACGTAAAACATGCAAAACGCTAGAATTGTTGACTTTCAGTTGAACGGTCACGAYAGCCATGTAGGTGATTCTACTCATTATCTCTAGTGGTTATGGCACTAAAACCACTGACGGTCTTTTGTATTTTGAAATACAAGGTAGAGATTAGAAACCAGGATTAGGTAAAATTCCGTAACAACAACAACTACATAAAAAACCTGTCTTTCCGGATGCGCCTTGACAAGGATGTCTTAAATATCTCTATATATGTACACTATTAAACCGAACAATTACCTCGATGTAAGCGACCAATTCTTCTGACGTCAATAAATGCGTTGCTTGACTCTTCTGTGACAAAATGCTGAAACAAATCGTCAGATATTATGACAATAATTGAAGAATGATTGTGGTAAAGTCTGTTTCACACTTGACGTAAGAAAATATCGACAATACTAAGGATACCTAGAGCGGATTTCGTATGTGCGCAAAACGTTCATTACATGCCATGYCATATAATGTTGTAAGTCCATGACATCCCTTAACGAAAATAACGCCGAGTTTTAAGACTTTCAGCATAAGATAAGTGAAGTAGGACTGATTAATAATGAAGTATGTATTCAAACATGTAATCTATGCCGGGGGGGGGGGGGGTACTCCCATATATTTGCTATACGGGGACGTGCCGCTGGCCAGGGTATGGTTTTTGGCCTTGCTGTCTTTAAACAGGGTATATATTTCACCGACTCTTTCACCCGGAATTGTCCTAAACAGGCTCTACGATTTAGATAAAAACCGATATAATTTTTTTGTGTCTTAGAAAGGGTAATATTTCATGGCCAGAAATTCCGGACATTTGAGCCCGGGACGAGTCAGCGGGTTTTCCCACCAAAATAGAGCTTTCTACAAGTTCCCTTGTGGTTTGAACTTTTGAAGATCAAATTTTCTACTGTTGTGCAACGATCCTTTATCTTAAATACAATACTAGGCTAAAATCGGAACGTTTAAAACACCGACAAACGAGTATTGGGATAGCACGCCCTGCCTTGAGTTCATTAGTGGCTTGTGAGGTGCTCGTTTGGAATGTTCATAGTGTAAATAATATTATTTGCTGRAACACACGTTTCCCTCAGGTATTTTAAACAATGATCATCAGTTGATATTGTGATCTTTTGTTTATACTTGTACATTTRTAAGGAATTTAAAAGGTCTGACATTGTTTACACTAGACTTGATTGGCCTATCTTTCGTTCGTATTTCCCGCTATCTGYGCTATTTACCAGTGCGCGCAAGGCGCYAGTAAAAAAACCTCCAAAATTAAAGCAGTCCCAGTCTGAAAGCCATGTTTCTAAGGTTTATTTTGGTACCAAACATGGATAATAAAATGGAAGATCAGGCCAAGTATTCGCGTGAAACACGCGTCTTCGCCAGCCATTTCAGCGTACTCAAGTTAGTGTTTTCAAATWGTACGATTTCTAGTACCAAAAAGGACGCTGTTGATCGTCTTCAAAATAGCTGAAAAWCGCTGTGTTCCTACCTCAATATGTGGAATTTGAGAAATGATCTATGGAATATCARTGACATGTAAAGGAACACGATCAGCTACGATGAAATTTCGCTTCTTCGCGAATTTTCACCATGAGATACAAGGCCAAAGGGAGACGACGAAAGGAAAATAAAYTGTCAAAAAGGACGCTGTTAAAAATATTGGATTTATTTGGATTTCCTACAGTGGAATCAAGAATAGTTTCCCTCTACGAATTCATCTATGGAATCTTTCCAGTTAAAACAGATGAAATGTTATTCTAAAATATTTTTTTTGATCCATACATTTCTTTGTAAAATTTACAAACATGTTTTTATGCATTTATGCGAAGTACCGCTGCGATTGCGGGCTCAAATGTCCGGATTWTCTGGCCATGGCATAAGAAATACGCTCCGTAGAAATAGTAGAAATACCGTTTTCACTGTAGCAGGATTAACGTGTTATCAAAAACCTCCTATTGTCTTTGATGTATGTCAGTTTAATCGAGTACCCCCCCCCCCGGGAATCTATGTGTTTTTCTGGTTTGTCAACCCCAACCAACTAATGTCTAATTGGCATGTAAGGAACAAACAATTGACGCAATTTTCTTACCAGAATGACAAAATGACTGCCGTTTCTAATGGGTTTAAAGAAAACTCTTCAGTGTCATACGATTCGTCTTTAAACTTGATTTTATCCAAAACAAGATCGTCATCAAGAAATACATTCTGCAAATACAGTTGCATACTTTTATATGTTGACTTTTAGCGTTTCCGTTCTTTTCATTGTATTTAATAAGTTAGGGACTGTGCAATAATTACCAGGAGGGGGGGCGTAAAACCAGATTTCTCAAGCAGAAAATTAGACAGAACCCCCCCTCCGAAGCATAAGAAAATAGCTC